ATTAAGTAGAACTTTGTGTTATCCTAAGTACTTATTATATAGCCCTATTATATTATATTAATTATAAGGTAGTAATCTAACTTTAACTAGCCCTTCTCTAGTGCCTAATATATATAGATAATAGTATTTAAAAGGTTTATCTACACGTGAAACTATACTAATATAGGCTGCACCTATTATTACTAATTATAGGTATAATAAGCCTGCTAGCTTTTATATATAACTATATAGACGTGGTTAATAGTAAGTTAGTTACTATATAGAAGGAATATCTACTTAAGGAAGATATTATTAGGTATAGGGTTGTTATAGATCTTATAGCCTAACTAATCTAGAAATATATTATTATAAATAGTAAAGGTCCCTTCTATTAAGCTCTTATTATATTTAATTCCTATAAACTAGACTATCTTAGTCTTATAAGGTAGTAGTATATTAATAGTAGGAAATATTAGCTCTAGGTCTAGATCTTGCTTAAATACACTACGTACAGCGCTTAGATAGAGATATTATAAGGTGTCTATAATTAAGAACTGTAATATCTATACGCCTATATTATTACCCCTAGATACTACTAGGCTTAGAATAATATTAGCAAGAGATAGCAGGAGGGTTAGGTTATATATACCTTAATATAGACTACTAACTAGAAGTTCTAGATATATAATATATGCAGCGTTAGTAAATAACTAGAATACTACTTAATTTCTAATATCTTTATAGCGCTTATAATTAGTAAAGTTAATATTATTATAAATAATAACTACCTATAGATCTAATATACTAGCGCGTAATTTAGACTATACTATATATTAGTACGTGCTATAGGTACACGTTTATAGTTATAAAGAAGAGGAGGCAAGGCTTGCTAGTAGGTAGGCTTGTTAGTTAGCCTAGGAGGTTATAGAAGTTTAGAGGAGGCAAGACTTACTAGTAGGTAGGCTAGTTAGTTAGCCTAGGAGGTTATAGAAGTTTATAGAAGTTTAGAGGAGGTAAGGCTTAGTAGGCTTAGCTAGCCTAGGAAGTTTATAGAAGTTTATAGAAGTTTATAGAAGTTTATAGAAGTTATAGAAGTTTATAAAAGTTTATAGGAGATTATAGAAAACTAGTAGAGGCTAGCCCTACTAGTAGCTAGGGAATTATATAAGTTAAGAACCTAGTATTATATATACTATAGTAAAGTTAGCTAGCCTTAAGGCTTAGGTATTAATATACCTATATAAATATACAAGTCTAAGGCTAGATAATATCTCTATAACTTGTTAAGGAACTCTAAAGGCTTAAAAATATAAACCTAAATATGTAATAAACGCGTTAGAGCTCTCCTAGGTAAATAAATAGTATAGGATTATAGTAACTAAGAAGAGGCGCTTTATATATATAAGAGTTATATTACTAGCCTAGTATAAGGTTAAAAAGGCATATTAGTTTTATAGATACTTGTAGAGTATATAGTATAAAATAGGAGCGTCTATCTCTATAAGATAAGTTATACTACTAAAGTTAAAATCCTCTACTAGGGTCCTAGTTATATATACTCTAAAGGGTAGCAACTAGATTAACGCGCTTAATTCTTGCTAACACTATATAATAATAAGCTACTCTTTAAATATATCCTTATTATAGAGCTCTAAAAAGATATCCTCTATAATCCTACGTTACTTCTTAATAGTATTATATTATTAACTAGTAGATATAACTAAGTATTTATTATCCCTAATACTAGTAAATATAGATATAAATATCTTAAATAACTACCCTATTTCTCTAAATAATAGAAGGACCTTATTTATCTTTATGTCTTTACTTATATAGTAAGTATAAGAAGAGGACGTAGGCTATCTATTAGAGGTAGATCTTTACTACGTATAATTAAGGGAGGTGCGTTTAATAGGGGTGCTATAATAGCTCTAGTATAATATACTAAATTAAGAGTATCCTTATAGTAGCGTAAAGTTAATAAGTAACTAACTAGGTATCTTACTATCTAGCCTAGGTCTAATAGGGGTAATAGGTATGTTAAATATTATTAATTATATAGCGTTAGTAACGTAATAATATACTATTTCTAGACACGCTAAGTAATAGTATATAGTTATAGAGATAGTAAGGGGTAATAAAAGTTATACTATAGAAGATAGGCTATTAGATAGTACTAGTAAAGTAGGAAAATAATATAGTTAAAGATATAATATATAGTATTAAAGGTAGAATCCTAGCTACTAATAAGTTAAAATCACGTATTACTAAACTAAGCCCTAGTTTCCCTTAGACGCTCTAGCTAAAATAGCTGTTCTACCCTCCTATTAGCCTAGAAGTTTTTAGAAGATAATTAAATATATTCCTGCCCTCCTATTAGTTTAGAAGTTTGTATAAGTTTACTAGCAGCGCGCTTGCGTGCCGCCAGGCCTAAATGGGATAGGCGGAACGCCAAATTTCAGTTAGAGCATCTGATTCATGAGATAACTGTTAGCACACAGATAGCCGTCACTACCCCACCTACCGGTAATTACCCCTCCTGATTGGACCCCCCTTGGCATTTCTGTATCCCAAACATCCTCAAAAGCTTACCTCATCGCCCGCACGACCACCTCGAACAATTGAACTCAATCTTCCTACTCACAGCAAGCCTTCCTCTTCCGCCCATCAACCACCCCAGGACACTACCATCATGGGACGTCCCGACGGTCCCCGCGACCCCATCGCCGGCCCTGATACCCCACAACCACCCTTTCCCATCAAACTGCGCGGCCCCGTCGTCAAAGGCTTCGGACGCGGCAGCAAAGAGGTACGCCCGCAGGATCTTAATCCCTTTGCCAAAGCCATCAACTAACCAAACCCCCTCCCCCCCAAAAAAGCTCGGCATCCCCACCGCCAACATCCCCCTCTCCGGCCTCTCAATCGGCGGCCACGACAACCTCGACTCCGGAATCTACTACGGCTGGTGCACACTCGACCACCGCGCCCCCCCAACCTCGCCACCCACCAGCGTCCCCAGCGCCACATCGGACACATCCCCCCCCGCCCCATCCTCAAGCCACGGCGTCGCAGACCTAAACTACCCCTCCACCTCCCTGCTTACCACCTCCCCCTCCCCACAAACCGTGTACCCAACCGTGCTATCCATCGGCTACAACCCGTACTACAAAAACACGCAGCGCAGCATCGAGATACACATTTTACACTCTTTTGACGCGGATTTTTACGGGGCGGTGCTGTCGCTTGTGGTGCTTGGGTTTATTCGGCCAGAGTATGATTATGTGAGTAAGGAGGCGTTGGTGGAGGATATCCGGGAGGATATTCGGGTCGCGAGGCGGAGCTTGGAGAGGGAGGGGTATGTGGTTTGGAAGGGGGATGCATGGTTGAGGGGGGAGGGTGGGGAGGAGAAGGAGGAGAGGGATAGGGCTGCGAATGGGAGGGACGGGGCGGGGCAGAGGGATGGGGTGGCTATGTGTCAGATGGGGAATTGAAGGGGAGAGAGAATGAACAAGGGGGAGATGATAGACGGATAGACTTCATATGCACATCCATACATACATAGATACATATCCATATCCATATCCATGACAAAACCCCTCCCACCAAATCCAACCCACAAAAGCCCGCATACCCCCCACCCAATCCTCCACCAACCCCCCAACCCGCCAAACCCACGCCAAAAACAGCGCCGAAAACCGCGGAGAAAAAACCTAGACACCAACAGCTCCAACCAGAAACCCAAGAAGAAAAGAAAAGAAAAGAAAAGAAAAGAAAGAAAGAAAGAAAGAAAGAATAAATAAATAAATAAATACAAACAACAACCCAGCAGGCAGGTCGCACATTCCGCCTCCTCCTTGACCCAAGACCGAAGATGTAAAACCCAAGACCCAAGACACAAGACCCAAGACACAGGACCCAAGACCCAAGACACAGGACACAAGACACAAGACACAAGACACAGATGTACCAGCCATTTCCCCATTCAAGCCCAGAAACAAGGTACATGTACAAGCCCATCATTCAATCCTCTAATCCCCCCTCTCCCACCCGCCCCTTTTCCCCCATAAACCCGAAGGGAGCGTGGGAAGCGGATGGATGGAGGGAGGGAGAAATGATAACGGAATAAAGAAAAAAATAAAGGGATGCCCAATACATTTAGTTCATCGTGCCAGGGGCCCAAAATAGATGTTACCGGGGGGAAAAAGAAAAAGGGGAAAAAAAGGAAACATTTCCTACACCCTCACAAACCCCCAAAACCATTCAATTCAAAGCCCGGGGGGGGGGGGGTTGGGGTTGGGTTTGATCTTGCAGACACACGACATGGATAAGCGGGCAAGGCAGTCAGGCGTGACAAAGTTGCAACACCGATGCCTATGAAGAATAGGTACACAGACCCGAATCCTCCGTGCAACTCCGCTGCAAAAAAAGTGCGTGGCGACTACTTCTAGCACTTCAAGAGGTGCATGAGAGCAAGCGTTATTGCAAACCCTTGTCCAAGACAGGCATGACCTGTTTCGTATTAGCCACGACATTCGCATTCGCATTCCCAATCCTTCCTCATCCTGCATACCGCCATCGCAACAAAACAAAAGTTACAAAAAAAATAGACGACTTACACTCATGCTAACCAAGACCGGCATATCAAAAATATCGCGTTTGATATGCCACCAAATCATACAGTCCACCATGCCATTCTTGGCGCCAAGCCGCTGCATCGCACTTTCGCCCTGGTGCACCGCACCCCCACCGCCCTCCATCTTGATCAATGGGTCCGGTTTGACGTCGCCAGATGCATTGGCAGCCCGCATTTCTTGGATGCGATCGGCATCCGCCTTGGTCTGATATCTCAGCATATTCACCCCGTTGCGACGCGTAGCCCCGGGGATCCTGATAGCACAATTCACTAAAGTGCTGCAGATACTCCAAGGCAGAGCGCGGGTCCATGAGCTCGATGATGATGACGCTTGGCCTGGTCGTCTCCGAGTCCTGGGGATTAAGATTTGGCGTCGTGTTTTGCGTCGAGAGTTCCGAATCGTTGGCGTCAGGCGAGGTGCCAAAGTTGACGCTGAGATTAGGTTCCTGGCCGAGGAGGACCTCGCGCCTCCAGCCGGTGAGGATGGTGAATTCTTTATTCAGACCGACGATTTCGCCTGAGCGCCGGCAGATGAGAAAAGGAGTGCCCACTTCGGCAAAGTGGTCTTGCAGCGTCATCCGACTGCGCTGGACACACATTTCTTGATGGATCAGGTCGTCAGTGTTGAGCTCTTCGCGCACCTGAAGGAGGACCGGTCGGTAGTTCTGGAGATATTCTTGGGCTTTGCGAACCCATGCTCTCGAGTACTTCCTGTTGATGATTTGGTAGAGCCGGTGATAGCCTTTGACGTAATCATAAGGCTTCGTGATGTCTTGGTAGATGCTCTTGGTGTCTCGTTGACGTTTACGAATGCCATTAGAGCGTATTGGCTGAAGCGCTGTGTTGCCAGCCTGGCTCTCCTGCTGTGATCTATTAACGGCCGACGAGCGCTGCGCATGCTGTCTCGGGGTGCTGGAGTTTGCAAAGAAGGCTGCCGAAGCGAGGGGATTGTCGTTTTCGAACACGGAAGCATCGGTCGAGGCCGGGCTTGGGGTGGCTTGGCTAGAGGACCCTTGGCCAATGGCAAAAGCATGAGGACCGTTCAAGCTATCCTGTCGATGGCCGTTTTGATCCAAACTAGCTGCTGCAGCGTGCGATGTTTGCATTTGCAAGCTATTCTGCCGTGATGATGAATCCGGCCACTCGTTCATGGGGAGTCCATTAGGACCGTAGGTGATTCCACCCGAGTTGGCAGGATCCGCATAGCCTGCCGTCATTTGCTGGCTATACATGTTTGCCGGTTGGCTCATCGCGTTCATCATGCTGGTGTCCTGAGATACATCCCCTGCGCCCGAGGACATGTGACCGAGCATGCCAAACTCCAGGGCGCCATAGTGATTGCCGAAGTTCAAATTGGAAATGTCAAAATTGAACAAAGCTGGATCACTAGGGTCAAACAGTGGGCCGAATGGCTGCATTGGTCCGGGCTGGCTTTGAGCCATGGTGCTTGGCACATTTTGGACTTGCCCGTGTTGCGCTTGCGTATAGGGAGGCGATAGTGGTTGCTGTTGTTGTTGTTGCTGCTGCTGTTGCTGCGGGCTATTAAAGTTGTGGGCATCCTGGGTGCCTGGGAGAGGACCCGACATGGAATTGGGCCTGTAGAATGTCGTAGGTGAAGGCTGGGTGAAGACATTGCCTTGAGGAGACAAGGAAACGGCGTGTGCATCTTGGCTGGGTAGTGGCGTTGGACGGTTTCCATTCGTATAGGGATACTGTCCACCCACGCCAGGCATGAGAGCGCCATCTGGAGCATCGTAGAGGTACTTTGCCTTTTTACGCAGGCCATCCATGCAGTGTTCTGCGATTTTGCGCTTGATACAGCGTCCACAAGGTCTCTCATCGGCTTATCCATTGTCAGATTTGAATTCTTTGATGTTTGATACAACCGAAGAACAAGAAGACGAAAAAAAAAAACAATCACCAGTGGTGACCATGGAGGACTTCATACTCACCACAAGTCAGATGGGCTCGCTGGCAAGCATAGCAGGCTCTCTTTGCCTTTTTCCGTCGAGGTCTCATGGGATCCTTTGCATTGGACTTGCCGGTGGCCGACTTTTGCGAGGGCGAGCCGTCGGCGGCGGATGGGTGGTCTGTTGCTTGCTCGGCAGCCATTTCGTCTCCGCTGGACTCGGGCGAAGAAGAGGCATCTTCGGGGTCTGGGGTGGACATGATATGCCTCTCTGCCATGGATGGGCCGTGGGAGCCAGATATGGACTACTGCCGTGGACGGTGGTCGGTGCTTTGGAAGAGGCAGGCTTGGTGGAGCGTGCAGCCGTCGGTGGTACTCGTGGGATGTTCCCAGCAAAACGGTAAGCCAATGTATCGTGCGCGCACGGCTGGCGGCGTTCCAGCTCTATGTTTGGGAGAAGGATCACGCGTGCGCTGGCTGCTCGAACGGGCACTGCGGTGGGACGGTGAGGATGGCGAGGAGGGGGGGGGCCAATGGGGGCGGGCGCAGGGATGGGAAGAGGGTGAAAGACTCTCAATCCGGCGGACAGGTATGGGATAGAGCAGTCGTGGTACAGGGCCGGGGGCCATGCGATTGAGGGAGTCTTGGACGAGTACACAGAATCATGTTTGATAGCGAGCTGCTACCGAGACGCGCCGTCCATACTGCTGGGAATGAGCGCGGTGGTACTGCGAGGTCGGCTAGCCAGGTCCGCGGACGGTGAGGGTCGTGGCGGGGTGGGGCGGGCGATGTGAGGAGGGCAGTGGTAGGGCGAAGGGGGGTTAGTAGTACACAGCAGGCGGTGGGCGATGGACGGTGGATGTGTATGTAAGTAGAGTATAGTAGAGTGAGTGAGAGAGAGAGAGAGAGTGTGTGTGTGTGTGGATATGGGTATGGGTATGGGTGGGCTGCGACTACACAGGTATTGACGGGCGGGGCCTGACTGGATGTGGCTGGCAAGTGGC